GCGTCTTCCTGCAGGGGCAGCCTGGGGGCGGGGCCTCAGCCCCAGGCTGAAACTGGATCTGCAGGACCTCAGGCTACTAGGAGGCTGTGCTAAGGCCAGCGGGGTGTGGGCGTGGCGTGCCCGTTGGCCCAGCACTCTGAGAGGCTGAGGCAGGAGGATGTCAAGTTCCAGCCCAGCCTGGCAGCTTATTGACTCAGCAAGGCTCTGTCCAAAGATTTTAAAAGGTAGTGAAAATGTAGCTCAGTGCAAAGGCCTGGTTTCACTCCCCAGTAAGTAATTTGCACACACATGCACATACACCCCAGGACTCGCATTCTGATAGAAGAGGAGACGAGACCTGGGCCCAGAGAGGGCCGTGAGGACACAGGACGAGAGGCCTCGGACGACCCAGCCGGGCTGAGCCAGAGCCAGAGGCTGACAGTGCCCCTAGCGGTGGCCCCGCGAATCCCCTCTACTGTCTCCGGGCTTAGGAAGAGGTCCAGGCGCCCCAAGGCAGAGGAGGGCAGAAGGGCGCAGGATACAGCGCCTGCCCCTGCTGTGCGGTTTGCATTTCTCTCCCGTTTGCTCTTTTTTTTCTTTTGGTTTTTTGAGACAGGGTCTTGCTGAATAGTCCAGGACCTCACTGCAGCCCTGTTGTCAACTTCTGGAGTCCTGGGATTGCAGGCATGCACCGTCATGCCCGGCCTCTCCCGTTTCCACTTACTGTGTTTCTCCGGACACTTTGGGGAGCAAGTTGCAGAGCTGTGACCCCCATGCCCCACGCTGGGAGCCTCAGAGCCCTGAGCCACTGCAGCTGGCCTCCCTCGGCACCCGGCTGCTGTCTTTAGGGTCCCAACGCAAGGTGGAGGAGTCACTGGTCTCTTGGGTACCCTGTCAGTGGAGGCCAGCCTATGGCCCGGGTGTCACTGTGTTTTAAAGACCAAGGGTGTTCATGTAGAGTTGTTTTTTCTAAAGTAAAACCTCAGTATTCAGGGTTAATTGCAGCGTTGGGGCTTTGTGATCGTTGAGTGGGCTCTGGGTTGCAGTTTGGGCACTGTCTCTACAAGCTTTGCCATCACTGCCCTAGGTTCTGTTTGGCATTTCCTGGTTAAGTACTTTGGGCAAGAATACCACGTGGTGATGACCCTGTAAGGGAGGTGGGGAAGCCGGGGCTCTGCAAGCCAGCAGCATCTTGGACACATTCAGCCAGAACTGACCCTGGCCTGGGTGGTGGCTGTGACCAGGATGGGAAACTCACGCTGTGGGATGCAACATGGATGGTGCTGCTGCCAGCCAGGGCAAAACCGACCCCAGACTGGGATGAGCTCATGGCGAGGGGAGTGTGGGCCTCAGCGTCCTGTTTGTGAGGAGGGTGGCAGGGCCCGGCTGGGGCTGGCTGAGTCAGAAACCCCAGGCTGAGGAAGGGACTGCCTTCTCCCGACCCGGTGAGGTGGATCCCAGAGCTCAGATCTTGGATGCCCCGAGGCTTAGGTGACTTGGATCCCCTCGCCTGACCACCTGACCTCCCGGCACGTGAAGGGTTCCTAAATACGCACTAATCAAGAGCAGAGTGAATTCTGGGGACAAGCCCCACAGAGGTCCGCATCCTGTCAGTCATTCTTGTGAATCATACCTACAGACTTGGGCGGCCCCTGGGCTGAGGTGCAAATCCTTTAAATTCTGAACGCCTGCGTTTTGGAGGGGTGTGGCTGCTGCCTCTGTGTGCTGTGACCTCTATGCAGTGTTTCGCTTTTCTGTCACCCTCACACCACTTTTCATTTTTTTAGTTTTTTGACACAGGGTCTTTCTGTGGCCTTGAACTCACAGAGGTCTTCCTATCTCAGCCTCCGGAGTACTGGGATTACAGGAGTGTGCCGCCATGCCCGGACCCAGCACCACTTTTCTGTCCATGCCCTACCTTTTGTTGGGATGAACTTGCCCAGAGTAGCTTCCATGATCTTCAGTAAACACAACTGCTCGCCATTTGCTGCCAGGCGTGTACTTGGCAGCTCTTTGCTCATCGTTCAGCAGGGCCTGGGCTGTGCCCGCTCTTTGCCGGTGACAGGGCTGCTGTGGGGCCGGGGGCCGAGGTGCAGCTCAGAGCCCTGGCCGTGCACACCTGGCCCCCGCCCGGCTCCATCCCCAGCACTGCAGGGAAAGATGAAGAGGTGCCTGTGTTGCATGCTCAGGGAGCTCTGCGCCTGGCTTTCCCTAGCTGCTCCATGAAAGGTGCCTATGGTGACTCCTGTGCCTGGTGACCGGCAGAGGTGCCAGCCCTGCCCTGGCGTGGAAATTCACAGCCCCCAGGTACAGCGTGCCCTGGGCAGTGGACACGGGCCTGCCCACCCCCTCCCGGCACTGCTGGGGAAACTGAGGTCTAGAGGCCAGGGACTTGCTCGCTGGGAGGGAGCACAAGGCGGACCCAGCCCCTTGGCCTAGCCCCTTCCTTCCCTCTCCTCGGAACTCTGCTCAGCGAGCTGCCTGGGCTCTGCTGGGACAGGCTGTGAGGTCGGAGGACACAGCGCCCCACCCAAGCGCCAGGAAGCACTGGCCAGAGCCCCATGAGGACATGAGGAGGGGTGGTGGGCTGGGAGGTGGACTCAGGCATAGGTGGGGCTGGCGTCTGAGCCTCGGGCAGGCTCTGCCACTGGAAGGGGCGCCACAAGCTGCAGAGCCGCATTGGCCTGGGCAGTGTTGTGGCTGCCGCCCAGCGGGACCCTCCCCTTCCCCTGCCAGGGCAGTGCTGACGGCTGCTGACCTGTCACGGCAGCTGGGGGGACAGTGCAGAGCCTGCGGGCGCCCTAAGCCTGCAGTGGCCTGGGTGTGGCCCTGGGCTCTGTGCCTTGGGCCTCCGCTCTGTGCGGCGGAGCTGGTGTCAGTGTGAGCTGATGCTGTAACCATCAAGTGATGGTATTTGCTCCCGGCTGCGGGTCCCCTCATCCCTGTCCCCATCTTGGCAGATGTTGGGTTTTCCTTGCATTTTGTTCTTTTTTGGGGGCCTGGGTGTGGTGCCCAGGAAACTGAGACTCATGTTCCTTGTTGAATAAACAGGGAAACCTAGGTCAGGGACAGGGAAGGCTTGGTCCAAACTGCAGTGGCCAGTCCCAGCCAGTGCCCTGGGCACTGTGGTGGCTCCCAGCTGGTGGGGCTCCCAGCCGGGACCCCCCCCAGTCCTGGTTCCTGTCCTTGCACACATTCTGTGGGTGCCTGGGCTTGGGGGAGGGCAATGCATCGGGTCACCCCAACACGTGGCAGCAGCTGTGGGGCCATCCACTCTGCATCACCCTTGCCCACAACCCCCTGGGGCAGAGTGTGGAGCCTGACTACCTCACAGTGTCCCCTGGGCCTTGTCGAAGCCTGAACCCCAGGAGCTTGGAAGGCGGAGCTAAGGCACTCGAGGTACCCCGAGGTCACAGGATATATACGCAGCGGGGAGACCCCGGCCTCCAGCACCGGAGAGGATGGTCTCCCTCCCGGTCCAGGCTCATCTGGGCCTCATGCACCAGCACCTGGGCCAGGGTTACCAGGGCTGCGTGTGCCCTGGGTGATGCGTGTGCACAGCAGTGCATGGACCTCACTTCCTGTCCCGATGTAGGTGCTGGAGCAGGGGTCCACAGCAAGACGTGGGGAGAACAGACCAGTGACCCTGATGATGGAGTGGGACATCAGTAAAGAAAGACAATGGGAACCTGGAGGGCACAGGAAGAGAAGCAGCAAGCCAGCCGCGGCAGCACTCTGGCAGGCTGAGGCAGGGGGGTCACAGTGGGAGCCCAGCCCGGGGAGCTTAGGACTGAGTGCAGGGAGGAGGGAGGAGCAGCCCGGGGATCTAGTTGCGTCTACTGGAAGAGGGAGCCCTCCTGAGGAGCACCAGGGCGCCGGGTCTCACTGAACCCCAACTCCTTGTCCAAGCCCGGGAGTCAGGATCTCCTACACTTCCCACGCCAGCCTCACGTGGCTCAGAGTTCGGGAGTGGAGTCCCGGACTCCTCGTGGGCCACAAGCAACTCCCAGCTTCAGCTTCCAAGCCCGGGAGTCAGGAGCTGCCCGCAGCTGAAGGGTGCAGCGCGGAGGGGGCAGTGCTGGGCGGGATGACAGCCTCAACCTCTGAGTCCCTGAGGTCACCGACCCGGCGTGCCAAGGACCCCGGAGGGCGAGGCCGGGAGCAGCTCACTTCACACGCGGGGAAACCGAGGCACAGAGGTCCGGTACCCAGGCCGGGAACGCAGTGTGGCAGCTGCCGTCGTGACCACCGGGGAGGCCTGGCCCCTGCTGACCTCCCCCAGCAGCACGCCAGGCTCCTCTCTCTCAGGACGCAGGGTGTGACCAGCCGGGCCCTGCCTCCCGAGCCTGTCAGACCCAGCGGGGGCGCTGGCTCCTGTCCCTAAGTACCCTCAGCCCCCGCCTGGCCTGCAGCCCAAGGGCTGACCACCTGCCCAGGCCACACCTCCTGAGCCCGGCGCAGCTCATCCGGAAGGCTGGTAGCTCGAGACCCTTGCTGCCCACTCCAACCCACGCTGTGGGAGGGCAGCACCCGCATCCAACAACAACCAGTGGGACATGACCAGGCTCCAGGACCAGTCCGAGGCCGCATCCGGGGCCACCCACGGGGTGCGGGCTCCCTTCCCCACTGTGATGTGCAGCCCGTACCCAAACAGCCTGGCGGACGGCTTTCCATCTTTATTTGGGGTTCAGAAAGCGCCTGTCACTACCAGGGGCTCAGCTCCAGGGCCCGGAGGTGGAGCCCCGAGGAGGGGTGGAGCGGCAGTGGCAGGAGTGTCCCCAAAGCCTTGTCCTCCAGCGGGGGCTGCACGTACAGCTTTGTGCCTGGACACTGGCCCCCTCCCGGACACAGGCCAGCACCAGGGCAGGGCAGCCCCCAGCAGCCCCCAGTTCTGAGCAGTTTTGGGCTGGGGTGGGGAGGCAGGCGTGTCAGGGCCCGGAGGGCAGCAGGCCCAACCCCACGTTCACGGAGCAGCGCTGCGGTCAGGGAGACACGTGCCCCAGAGCAGCGCGGCCGGCTCACAGGGCGAACAGCGTGTCCTCCGCCTTCCCCTGTGCCTTCCTACGGGGCGCTGCGCCCTCAGCGGGGCCCGGGGGGGCGGTGGCCGACGGGCTGGAGAGGCTGGGCAGCCGGTCAGCAGCTCTGGCCCGCTCTTCCAGAAACTTGTCGAACTCTAGGTGGGGGAGAAGGTGGTGGGTGGGGGTCGAGCCCGGGAGGGGTGGGCAGGGGCTGGGGCACTACCTTCGCTGGTGACGCCGGTGGGCTCCGCTGCATCGTTCCCCTAGGGCACAGAAGGACGGGTCAGGTCACAGGTCGGGCCAGGGGGCCTCAGGGCTGAGGCAGCGCTCAGGCACCTGGACCACAGCCAGCCCGACCTCAGCCCCTTGCAGAGCTGCGGCCCCTGGCTTGCCCGAGCCTCGGCTGGCCCTTTACCATGTGGAGGATGAAGTCACTCAGCAGGGTGCTGGGCACGGGCCCCAGGGTGCCTTCTGCCCCAGCATGGCCGGGGAAGCAAGCTGACACCCTGACGCACAGCTGAGGTGCAACAGCAGGGGGTCAGGCCTGGCCTGCAGTCCCTCCCTGAGGGGAGGAGAGAGCCCCAGGCAGCCGCCTGCCTGCTGGTCTGTGATGTGGGCGGCCGTGCTGTGCCCGAGAATCACAGGCACCTCGCTCGCTGTGTGCCAGGGCCCAGCCAGGCTCCTGCTGCGCGTCGGCCCCTCCAGCCTGGCCTCACAGCGCCTCGGTCTCCGGGTGGGCCAGGGACGCCCCTGACTCACCACGTCCGTGGACAGCCACTGCTCAATGTCCTCCATGAGGCGGGCCTGGGTGGCGGGGATCTGGAGGGAAGCACAGGCTGAGGTGAGGGATCAGGGCCCGGTCTGCTGCTGGAGTGCAGACCCTCGGGCCCCCTCTGACGTGGGGCCAGGCTGTGTGTGGGGGCGCACAGGTCATAAGGTCGTGCAGACAGGATGGGATCCTCACAGTCTGGGTAGGCCATGGGGTCACGATGCCACCAAGGGGCTGCAGGCAGGGGATGGGCTGGTGCTAAGGCCAGAGCAGGGCCAACCCAGGCCCCCGGGACTTGGGACCCCGGGCCAGGCAGGAACTAGAGTATCTCCTTCCGGAGGCAGAGTCGGGCCACCAGGTCCTGTCTCCTGTACCACAAGCTCACTTGCATGACAGCGGGCACAGGAGGGTTGCAGGGAGCAGTGGGGGGGGCTGGAGGGCCAGGCAGGTGGTCTCAGCAGGCAGCCCTCCTGACAGGGACTTGGACTGTTCTGATGGCCGCCTTCCAGGGGCAGGGCTGGGGTTCCTTCCCTGACGGCTTCTGCGATGGCGCCCAACGCACGCTGGTGTGGGGGAGCCAGCTGTGGGGGCGCCTGTGGCCGTTTGGGAAGATAGAGCGGGGTCCTCCTCCTGAGGGGCCCAGGTGGTCCAGGGCTGGGGGGCGGCAGGTGCAGCCTGGGTCCGGGCCCCACGGGTGCGTGTGCGTATGGAGGTGCAGTTATGGGTGTGCACATCCGTGTGCAGATAGTGGAGCTGTGTGCGCCCCCACGGCTTGCTGCTTGTGGTGGGGCCGGGAGAACTGGCCTTGGACACTCGTCGTGTCTGAAGCCTGCGCCCTGGGTGCCTTCCCGTGAGCCGCCCGGCGAAGCTCAGGAGGAAGTCAGTGGCGCGCTGCTAAGTGGTGCATCCCAAGTCTGACCCGAGCCCTGCCCTCCTTCGGAGGCCCCTGGGGGAGCGGGGACTCTGCTTACTGCTCCCGTGCTCTGCTGCCGGGCATCCAGGGCCCCAGCCAGGCCGTCCGTTGCCTGGGGGGCTTCGTACTTGACCCTGAAACACAGAGGCGGGTGGCCGTCAGGTGCTGCCCGGCGCTGCAGGCCTGTGAGGACGGAGGTGGGGGGACATCCCAAGTGTGGCAGGCTCAGCGAGGGCTCCCCCTGGCCAGGCCTGCCTGGCACGGAAGGAAGGGCCAGCTCCGGCCTCTGGGAACCGGGCCTGGCACCAGCAAAGGCTGTGAGCAGAGGGAGGGCTTGGTTGGAACCAGACACAAGACTGCCAGTGGCTAAAACCAGACAGATCTGGGAAGCAGAGGGACTCGGAGAGCTGATGGCCCCTGTCCCTGAGCAGACAGCTCTGGGGACCCTTTCTGCAGCACCCCCACTGCGAGATGTCACAACCGTGGCTCTGCTGGCGTGCACCTGGAGGAGGGACTCCCTGCCCTGCCCCTCCTGTGGCTGTCCTCAGTGGGGACAGAAGGGGAGGAAGTGTGTGCTGCTGGAGGCCCAGACTCAGGGTGTGGGAGGGCTGTCCAGGAGTGAGGAGTGAGGGCCTAGGCCAATGCCGGAAGAGCCCCGTTCTGGCTCTAAATGGCCATGGGGAGGCGTGGAGGGGAAGCCCGGCACGGTCAAGGGCCAGGGCGCCCTTGGTGGGGCCACGCAGTACCTTCCTTGGGGTGTGGCAGGACAGCCCACATCCCCAGGGACCCAGGAGGTGTGTGGCCGTCACCCTCCCATGAACATGGCGGCTGGCTCATCCCTGCCACTGGCTCCCAGCAAGGTGAGTGGGCTGCTGACCATGGCCGGACCACGTTGGGCCACCTGCATGCTGAGGGCTGGGGGGAGGGAGGCCGGAGACTGACAGCACACCTTGTCCCGGGGCCTGCACGCCCTGTGTGGGCGCGGCCAACCTGTCCAAGGCACGTGTGGGAAAGGCAGGGCAATGAGGGTCCAGCGAGGCCCACTCAGAGCCTTCGCTCCCTGGCTCGGGAGGACCTGCCTCTCTGCAGCCGCTGTCCACCCGGCACACAGTGCCTTGGCCAGGCGGCGGTACTGCGGGAGCCGTGCCGTCCAGAGGCTGAGATCCTGGGCCCTGGGCCACACTGGGGAGGGCTGCCTGGCAGGAGGGGTGGGGCAGTGTCAGGGCGGGCAGCCAGGCCAGGGGCTGGGGCAGGGCTCAGGGCCAGGCCAGCGAGTGCTGTCCCTGCTAGGCGGGGCCGGTCCCTGGGATCAGCCTGCTGCCGCCTGGCCAAGGAGTTTCAGACAAATCCGTGGAGGAAACCCTTCCCTCACTGCCTCCTGCCACCTCAGGAGGACACCAGCTGGCTTCTTGGCCCCTTCTCCCTTCCCTTCCTATGCAGGCACCTCTCCCTCCACTTCCTGACCCTCACGTGGGGCCCGAAGCCTGTGCCTCCTCCAGCACAATGTTCCCATGGGGCCCAGGACAGGCATGGGCCACCCCCAGGACTCAGGAGCCTGCTGCTGCACTGCCCCGGCCTGGGTGTAGTATGCACGGGAGGCAGGGCAGCTCGCCCCAGGCCCCAGGCCCTGCAGGTGTGGGCAGGGAACCCCACTCTGCACTGCTGGCAGCAGTGTCCCTAAATGGCCAGAGTGACACTAAGGGGGCACACAGGAGTGGTGAGTACCCTCCATCTGTTCTACAGCGCCCGTTGCTGTAGGAATCAGCCCTGGGGTCATCAGCAGGGGATGAAAGGAACAAGCACAGGGTTCCCCTGGCCACGCATATGGAGGCCCCCAGGACATCTGGCCAGGGCCTCCCTGCTGGAAGCCTGTCCCTCAAGTGGGCGGTCCCAGCTCCAGGGTAGAAGGCATACCCAGTAGGAACAAGGATACTGGGGACACTGTTTCAGAATCAGACAGCCCCTGGGCCCCAACCTAGAGCTGCCAGATGCCAGCCACCTGGCTGGGGCAATGCCCCGGCTCTGGGTCCTCAAGTCCCTGCTGCCTGCCCTGTGTGTGTGTGTGTGGGGGGGGTCTGTCCTGATCACCAGGCTCTGGGGCCACGTGTGACTGGTGGAGGGGCCATGTGCCTTTCTTCCTGCTCTGGCCACACCAAGCCAGGCTCAGGGACCCTGACACTCTCCAGGGATTAGCACTCCAACCGCAGGGGACTGGGCAGGCCAGGCCAGGCCACTCACTCTTTCCGCTGGTCGGCTAGTGAGCTGCCCCGTGTCAGTGCAAACATGTCAAACTCTTCCTCCGGGTGCCCCGAGGGCTCCAGGGACTGCAGCCCAGCCCGCACACTGCTGGAGCCTAGGTCTGCAGGGACAGAAGGGTCAGAGAGACCCCCCCACTGAGCCCGAGTTCCCCGTGCTGGGCCCAGTGCAGGAGCTGCCTGAGGGGTGTGGAGCTGCCGAAGAGGAGGGACAGCCACCCTCCCGGGCCGAGAAAGCCCGGGCACAGGGAACACGGTGTGTGCCATCTGCTGCAGACACTCGTCAGCGGAGAAGGCCAGCAATCAGATGAGACTTGTCTAGACGTGCAGTACCAAGCTGGGCATGGCGGTGCACAGCTGTGACCCCAGTTCTCGGAGTGAGGCAGGAGGGTCACACGGGCAACTTAGCAACTAACTTAGTGAAACCCTGTCTCAAAATAAAAGGGCTGGGGCTGTCACTCAGCGCCAAGTCCCAGCACTGCCAAAGGAGAAAGTGCAGTGTCGGATCCGATAGTGGAGAGTGTTACAGCCAATCCCGGTGAGACGGGGTGGCGCTGACGGAGATGGAGGCTGGGGGCGGGGAGAGCACCCCGGGCCTGCACGGGTCTCAGCCTAGTCCAGGGTTAGCTGGCAGGGCTCTCCTGCTCGGCGAGAGCCAGGTGCTGCCCGGGCCTGGCCACACGATGACAATGTGGTCTCCAGGCCACTGCAGAGGAGCAGGGGCTCTGAGACCCATGGTGCAGGGCCTGTGGGCTCCTAGGCAGCACCCAACCTGCAAGGCTCGGGCTGGGCCCCAGGGTGGTGAGCCTGCCATCCTCCCATGTTCCAGCCAGCTGGGACTCCAGGCTGCTGGTGGCTGTGGCGTCAGCAGCTGTGCTGATCGGGTCGGCTGCCGGCTCCGCATCCCTGGGGGTCTGGGAAAGGGAAACTATCACCGTTCCGCCCGACTTCCCTCTCTGCCCACGTGCCCACCAGCAGCTTCTCTCCCTCCACTCGGAGCTCAGGAGATGTCCCCGCCCTGCGGCCCCAGCGCACCCCAGGCAGAGCCGCACAGCCTTTACCTTGGCGGTCTGGCCTGTCCGGAACCGTTCAAACCTGTAAGACAGAAGACTCCTGTCAGGGGCAGACTGTGCTGAGCTTCCCAAATCGCAGGTCTCGAGGCACCGGGTCCCCACCAGGGGGAGACGCATGCACACCTGCATCTCTCCTCCCGGACAGCGCCTCAGCCCCACTCAGGAGGCAGGGGCAGGCAGCGTGGGGACACTCGCAGTGGCAAGGCAGCTCAGGCTCTGGGCCAGGGCTGAGGGCGCAGGTCCCTGCAGCCTGCCTGGGGCGAGGGAGAGGGAGGAGGCTGGGGGATAGGATGGGGCTCACCGCTCATGGCGCAGGAACACGTTGTTGAGGTTGTCGTTGACCATGAGCAGCTCCTCTGTCAGCTGCTCATTGGAGATGTGTGGGATGAGCTCCAGTAGCCGCTGCTGCATGGCGCGGCACGTCCGGTGCAGCTCCTGCCGGGACAGGAAGTGAGACCCCACCCCTCAGACTCGCTTGCCTCTGGGCTGGCGTCAAGTGGGGGCAGCTCTCCAACTGGACTTCCATGGAATGGGCTTGGGACTCTACTACATGAATTTGGATTCCACCTCCAAGTGTTCTGCACTAAAATGAACTTAATCAATTTTGAGATGGTCCATGTGTTGCTCAGACTGGCCTAAACCGCCTAAGCGCAAGGGGTCCTCCTGCCTCAGCCTCCCGGAACGCTGGGAGTACAGGCACACGCCACTACCCTCAATTTAAAACAGGGAAATCTCCACTGCTCTGCTATCTGCACAGCAGGCAGGGCTGGCTGAGCACTGCAACTTTTTCTCAGTGTACCCAAAACCACCGAGGGCTCCAGCCAGGGCCTAGAAACCCTCACTGTGAGCATCTGCCTCGTTATTCTCATCGACAGATCCCTTTCTTTCTCTTTTGGGTTTCTGAGACAGGGTCTCACTGCGTAGCCCAGGCTGGCCTCAAACTCTCAGCGATCCTCCTGCCTCGGCCTCTTGAGTGCTGGGATTACAGGTGTGTGCCACGGTGCCCGGCTCACTGGTGAATTTCTAAGTAAACTGCCAACCGTGGAATAACCTGAGACTTACGGAAAAGCTGCGAAGACAGCCCTGGGCTCCTGTGCCCTTCCCCCAGCCTGATGTCTCAACCCTAAAATGGCAGCACCGGTGCCATTTCATTCCCTCAACTGACCCAGGGGCCTGCAGGGCTCCAGGTTTCTCTGCTGCCTGCTGTCCTCCTTCTGTTCGGGGTTGCACCCCACCACTTGCTGACTGGAGTCACTGACTGGAGTGAGTCACTGAGCAGCGCGTGGACGCCTGCTCGGAAAGCAGACTTGCAAGTTGCCCGCAGCCTGGCTGCTGCTTACGCCAGCTGCTCGCCATAGGCCCAAGGGCAGCCCTGCTGCAGCAGCCACGGTGGTTCTCCAGGACCCGGACTCACCCCGCCCCGTGGGGCGACGCTCAATACCCAGCCTCCCTCACACCGTGACTGCGCCCTCACCAGCCCTGCAAAGTCACAACAGCAGCACTGGGAGCCGAGTGCGGTTCAAATCTTGGCTCTGCTGCCCACCCGCCACAGGGCCCAGGCCTGTCCTCAGTTTCCTTCCCGGTGCACAGGTATGTCCAGAGCCAGCACACAGGGAGCTCTGCACAGGAGCCATCGCTTTGGAGTCCCCCGGTGGCTCACCCTGTGAGCCGTGGCTGGGCCTGGAGAAGCCACCTGATGGCAGTGACCGTCACCCATCCTCTGATGGCCCCACGGAGCCTTCTCAGGCCATGACAGGCCTGCCTCTCCCGCCCTGACCCAAGGATCCTCGGCAGGGACACGAAGCCGGGCCATAGAGAAGCTATGGCGTCAGCTGGGCACACTTGGCTTCTGGGCCTTGTGTTGCCAGCCCTCCTGGTGCCCATGGGGAACAACCTCCACAGGGTGGGTAGGTGCCCAAATGTGGCCCCTTCTGCTGCAGCCGGGGACAGGCTGGCAGGGTCCATGTGACACACAGGAAGGAAAGCCATGGCTTCCGTTCTTTCTGTGGCCATCACCCCAGCCTTTCCCAGGACTGCACCAGGCACCAACTGGGGGTTTTACACGAAACACTGCCTCTAATTCTCACATCCAGCCTGGCTACTAGAGCAACCCTACAGATAAAGAAACTGAGGCACCGAACAGCAGGAGGGCTGACTGGCAGCTGAATGCCTGTCTGTGGAGTGCCTGGGGAGGGCACCTGCTCACCTGCAGCAGTTCCAGGTCAGCGGGCTCTGCCTGAGTGGGTGCCAGCTCCGTTAGCATCTCCGACATGACTCGCACATTCCCGGTCACCAGCTCCAGCTCACGGCGCAGCTTCCCGATCTGAAAGGCAGGTAGGGCTGGGAGGCTGCAGAGGGTGCCCCTGCTGCCCTCTGGGACACAGCCCAGGCCACGGGGCCCCCACCCGACAGCCCGTGCTACCCACCGCTGCCATCTCCAAGCCCAGCCAAAGCCAAAGGCAGTGCAAGAAGCCGAGAATTGCTATGGGCGTGGCTGGCAGGGCCTGGCCTCTCCTGGGGTGAGAGGCAGCTAAGGAGGCCCTGGAGGGTGGCTCCGGCCTCCGCTTTGCCCAGGAGGGCTGGGGCTGTGCTCTCCTCATAAGTGGGAGTGGGGCGCCCCCTCCCCCAGAGCCTGGGGCTTTGTCTGGCTCCCAGTCTGCTCTCGTGGCACAGGGCTGTCCCAAGAGCGGTCCCCACCCAGCCCGGCCACCAGCTGATGAGCGCATACTCAGATGCGGCACTTGCTCCAATGCTGGAAGGGATCCCGGGCCTTGGGCCTGGGTCTACCCGGCCAGTGGTGTGGTGCAGCACCCTCAGACGGGAGGGCTGTGCAGGGCCTTGGAGCAGGTGTCGGACGTGTGGGAGCTCGTGGGCATTTCATGGACAAGAGCCCTGCAACGGGCCCCAAACCCACGGGGCCGAGGGACCCTTCATCATGGGGCAGCATGGGTCCAGCAGCCAGAGGACAACAGTTTGGGGAAGGCCAGCATGTTCCACACTGTTACCATCACCACGAAAAATCATCACAGATGTGGTAGCAGCTATGACTGACTACTTAATACAAACTACCGTTTAACGGTTGCCAGGGCAGATCTCATTATCCTGTGTTTACAGGCAAACAAATGGGAGCAGAGAGACCAGGAGCAAATCCACACCTGCCCAGACACCGGAGCCCATGCGACTCTCGGCGACTGACGCAGCCTCTTAAGGACCACCTCGCACGTGTGGTCAAGAAGCTCTGGACCACAGCCCGACATGGCCACACCAGACGCCTAACCACACAGGCACCTGGGAGTTCCGTGTCTTAGCGCCCGGCCGTTCTGGCACATCCCTGGAGACAGAGAACTTGGCGAGGAGCAAAGGCACTGCTTTGCTTAGTGAGACGCTTCCAGTACGAGGCAGTCAGACAGCCCTCACAGATGCTAGGTGGTGGCAAACTGGGTGAAGTCACAACCAGGGAGGGAACACTGGATTACACGGCTTTCCACTACCTGATCCTTCTTGCGGTGCTGGGAGGGAGCCTGGGCCTCATGCACGCTGGGCAAGCTTTCTACCGCTGGCTACACTCCCAGCCCTTTTTCGCCAAGTTGCCTGGGCTGGCCTTGAACTTGTGATCCTCTGTCTCAGCCTCCAACCCCCAGTACCTGGGATCACAGGTGTGCACCACTTGCCCAGCTGCTTTTACAATTTTGGGGTTTTTTTGGTACCGGGGATTGAACTCAGGACCTTGTGCTTGCGAGGCAGGTGGTGGAGCCACTGAGCTAAATCCCTGGCCCAGGGTTTTACAATTTTTCAACATCTTTAATCATTTTGTGCAGTTAGCAAAACTTCTCTAGTAGTATTTGTAACTCTGGGAGGCTCCTTTGTAACTTGCTACCACATAGCAAAACACAGATGTCTCTCTTCTAAGAGTGTAAAAGCGTCCAGGTAACACACAGATGTGCCGCTTGCCGGAGGGCCGGGCCTCTGTCACCCCAGCACAGGCAGCAGCTAAGCCTTTGGAACCCCTGACAAGGGACTACAGCCTGCGAAACCCTGAACACCGGCACCCAAGCCACCCTGACCCAGCCAGTGCGGGCTTCCACAGGCAGGGGAAGCCTCCGCAGCTCACAGACAAGGGTGGGCAGGGAAGCCGAGGCACAAGGATGGCCAGAGCCCACAGGCCCTTGGCTCCAAAGCTTTCCCTGCGTGTGCAATGCCAAGTCCAGTTCTGCTTTTTGTTCAGCTGCTCAGGCCATGCCTCAGCGGGAGTGTCACCTGGGCCTCAGACGCCAGAAGACAGCCAGGTTCAGGAGGCGCCAGCCAGAGCCACACTTGCATGCAGCCCGAGCTGGAGCTGCCACTGTCTCTGGCAGCTGCTGACTCTGCAAGTGCTTTGACCTCTCAGGCCTCAGCCCGGCCTTGGGCCTGCCCTAGCCTGCCCTGGCCGGGGCCCTGCGGGCTGCCCTTACCTGCTCGGGGGTGGGCGTGATGGCCGTGTCACCGGGCAGTGTGGCGAGGGTGGGCGCGGGAGTCGGGCATTGGCTCAGGTCTCCTCGCTGTCTGGCTGCGGGACCCAGAGCGCTCTGTCCTGCTGCCGTCTCTGAGGCGCACACGGTCTGGGGGAGGGCCGGGTCAGTGGGGCCCATGTGCCGCCCCTCTTGGACAACCGCCCCAGCCTTCCCCAGGGACGCTCACCCTCTGGGGCGTGTGGATGGGTGACAGCATGTCCAGGTCCGTCATGGGGAATTCAAGGCCCTTCCTCCGCAGGTCCTCGTAGACGGCCACCACGCCCGTCAGGTCAGGCGAGCTTCGGAACGCGTCAGCCCAGGACTGCGAGGGGACAAGCGACATGGCCGGTGACCACTGCGCACCTTCTTCCCGGATGCCTGCCCGGCACCCAGACGGAAGTCCTGCCCCACTGGCCAGCCCTCTCCATGCACACCCCGCGCACGAAGCACAGGGCGACAGATCGAGCGCAGACCGTCAGGCTGTGACCACCAGGACGCCCCCAGTGTGAGCAGGCCCCAGACCCACCTGGACGAGGCCGAGCACCTTGTCGTGCACCACGGTGGGTGGGTTGTTCTTGGGCAGGATGGCCCGCACCAGCACGCCCTCCACGAAGTCCTGGCTGGCCACCAGCACATGGAAGCGGTGCCCGCAGTTCTTGACACAGGTCTCCAGGACCTGGAGGGACCGGACAGCCCGTCCCCTCAGGGTGTCTCCCGCATTCCCAGCAGAGGGGACAGGGAGCCCACGCTGCCGCTGCCGCCGTGTCTGGCAGTGTCCCAGCAGAGCTCTGCCTGGAGGGCGCACAGGGCTGAGGACCAGGGCTAGACATCCTCGTGGAGGCTGGCAGCAGGCAACCTTGCTCTCCAGCCCCGCAGGGCCCTCTGAACACCACTGCCATGGTGGAGGCTGGGGCAGGTGCCTGCTGCTAGTTTCGTGCTCACTCTGTGCTAGGGGCCCAGGAGCGGCCTCGGCGTGCTGCCCCCACTGGGGTGGGAGGACCCCTCTGCCTGCCACGCCAGCAGCAGTGTAGGGTGAGCAGCTGGCCAGGGAGACCCCGACAAGCGACAAGTGGCACTCACCGTCAGAGCCAGCGCCACCTCGTGGAAGTTCTTGTTCCCCGAGATTCTCTTCCTCAAGGCCCGGAAGGCATCCTTGGGGCTGGCAGAGGCATGGAAGGAGGGGTGAGCAAAGGCATGGGGAGCTTCCTCGGCACTGGAGGCCACGGGCCTGGCTTAGGAGGCCTGGCAGGTGTCCTGGGCTTGTTGGCCCGCCCTCCCGCACTGGGCCGGTTCAGAGCCCTGCTGCCCCTCCAGGGAGCAACCTTGGGGCCCTGTCCTCCCCGACCGGCACTCAGGGAACAGGTGCCAGGTCGGTGGCCCTGCATCAGTGCTGCTTCCACACGCCGAGGCAGGGACTGCAGGCGGCAGGCGTGGGCTTTGAGACCCAGCTGCCTCTCTACCCCTTCATTTCTCCGCCTGACCAGCTCCAGCCGAGGAAAGGGCTTGTGTTCCCGTCCCAGCTGGCCTTGGCCTGGGGCTGCCGGGCAGAGGCTGGGCAGGGTGGCAGCGCCTGGCCGCACGCCAGCCATGACTGAGCTTCCCACGCCCGGCCCTCTGTCCACTTGGGACGTGGCTGCCTGCATCATGGTCCAAACGTCCCCAGGGCGCGACCTTGACTCTGGGCTCAGGGCCCTGGGACACCCCTCCCCTCAGTGGCCCTTACCCCTCTTCCGTCTCGTTGATGATGTCGCAGATCTCCATGTTGAGCGCCCAGTCCTCACTCTGCAGGGAGCTGTTGGTAGCTTTCTCTAGGAGAAGGAGGGGACAGACTCAAACAGAGGGTGACCCAGAGGTCGGAGGATGATGGCTTCTCTCTGGGGACCGGACAGGGCCAGCTGTAAAACCAGGGTCCTGCCTGTCATCTGATGCCGGCAGCAGCCAGTGCAGGTGAGGAGGCCTCTGGGGTCTGACAGAGGCCTCGAGCCTTTGTGACGGAGACAGCCGTGGAGAGACCGGCCCTCTTCCCCGCACGTCACCCTTCCACAACACGCACTACGTGGCCTTCTGCACGTTGGCGACAGAATGCGACCGCACCCCTCCCCCCACAGCGTCCACTGTTGGACCACGCTTAACCAAAGAGGAAACTGAGGCACAGGGAGGCCGGCAGCCTCAGGTGAGAGGAGCCCTGCCCAGTGCCCTTTCCGGCCCAAGTAGCCCCTGGCTGCAGCCCCTCTGGAGCCCTCCGCAGCCTGAGAAGGACCAGCGCCAGCGCCGCTGCTCTAGGGTTGGGGCCAGGACTGCAGTCCCTGTGGGGCGGGGAGCTGAGCACCACAAAGCGACGCCCTGTGGGGGGGGGGCAGGTCTGGCTGGCAGGGCAGTGCGGCCGGCAGTGGGCCAGGGCAGAGGCACGGGTGGGACGAGTGAGACTCCAGGCAGTGCAGGCGGAGGCCGCAGGAAGGCCAGTGGAGGGGAACTGGCCCTCAGCCCAGGCCCTGGCCCGGCGTGGACTCCTCAGGTCCAGGGTGGGTGCACCGCTGAGCACGCTGTCATGGGGAGGTTACCTGTGGGCTGCCACGAAGCTCGGCTGACTCCTGACCTGAACCCCAGGTGACTGAGCACCGTTTGTGGCTGGTGCTGTGGCTGGGCCTGGCACAGAAACCTCATCCTGCCCAGAAGGCCCTGGGGCATCTGCTGCAGGAAGGTGAGGTCCCCTCACGCCACCAGTCACCTGTCCTCATCTCCTGGGTGAGGCCCCGGCTTTGTGAAACTCCAGCAGAAGCAACTTCTCCACCTGGGTCTGCCCAGCCTCAGACAGCACAGCGGGGCGGGGCGGCGATGCACCAAGGCGTGCACACTGCCACCGTGGGCGGCCCATGCAGCTCCCCGGCCCGGCCCACCACCTCCTCCTCTTCAACACAGATGGAGCCCCATTCCCTCCTGCGCCTGGGCAGGGCCCAGTCCCTGGGCTGGGCTGAGACATGCTTCCCGGCCCTGGCGACCCCTCCCCACCCCAGAGCGAAGAGGTGCCCAGGCACAGGCTGACAGCTGCAGAGAACCCAGAGGGGTCTGGTCCTCAGAGCCACGCGGCCACCACCACATGGTGCCTCTCAGATGCACGACACTCGCCAGGCCTGCAGGGACACCACTGAGTCCTCCGCAGCTGTAGCCTCGGTGCTGAGTCCAAGGGAGGCTGTGTGGCTTGACAGAGAAGGACCCGAGTTTTGGGGCCAATGCCCCGCAGAATGCCACACATCCCCTGCCCATGCCAGAGATGGCTGAGTCAGCACCTCTGGTCTACAGTACAGGCTCTGCCAACCTCCCAGTCCCCACCCTGCTTGGGGCAGAGGGAGCAGAGAAGCCAGATGGGACCAGCTGCATCCAACCTGCAGGACCTGTTTGCTGACTGAGTACGTGAAGGCTGAGGGCACATCTGGAACAAAATGTGCCCCCCCACGGCCTTTTTAAATGAAGCGCTCCCCCCTTTGGCACCAGCTGCTGCATGGAAATCCTCATTTCCCTTCCACTTTGACCATCCTTGGAATATTTTCTTTTGCTTTTTGAGATAAGGTCTTGCTATGTAGGCCAAGCTGGCCTCAAACTCGTAGCTCCCTCCTGCCTCAGCCTCCCTAGTGCTGGGGTTACAGGTGTGCACCACCACACCTGGCTTGGCTTTCTTTCAACTTTAAAATGTTTTGTCAGTGCATATTGGTTACACGGGATAATGGGTTTCTTCCGGGCATGTTTGTACACACGTGGAGCTAACTGTTCTCACCCATGCACAGAGGCTGCCTCAGGCCTCGGCAGCTCCTCCGAGGGAGGAGGGAGCCGTCCTGATCAGAGACCAAGCTCCTTGGGGCAGGATGCGGAGGAGCTGCTCCCAAAAATGTTCATTCTAGACAGCCAGGCTTTCACTCAGGGAAACCCAGCCAGCCCCTTCAGTGCTAGGGGACAGCAGTGACATGGGACAGGAAGGGGCATGGGACATGGACCCTGGCAAATCCCAGGTCAAGGCCTAGCTCGAGCACCCATTAGCCGTGCAGCCTTGGGGGTGCCTCAGGCTCTGCTCAGGTCCTCCTGTGCAGAGCAGGGTCACCAGTGCACTCGAGTCCTCAGCGTGCTGTGCCTGCCACTGAGCATGAGGAAGCACCACACCAAAAGACGTGCTTGCGCTGGGCGTGGTGGCGCACGCCTGTAATTCTAGCACTCAGGAGGCTGAGGCAGGAGGATCATAGAGAGCTCCAGGTCTTCCAGGTCAGCCTGGGCTACAGAGTGAGACCCTGTCTCAAAAAACAACCCCCCCCCCCAAAAAAAACCCCAGTGATCTGATGCAAGAATATCAAACAAGATGACTGAAAACACCAGGCACTCCCTTAAAAGGCCTTTACAACCAACCCATGGGGCAGCCACTTTGTTTTGTTTTTTGCTGGCAACTCTCCTGCAGCCTATTTTCCAGAGCAGCCTGGAAAGTCCTGCCCATTTCCCAGGGCATGAGCTGCCCTTCCTCAGAGGGCCCCCGCCTCTCCCTGGCTTTTAACCACAGCCACCTGCACATCCCTGAACTCCACCCCCAGTTATAGTTCTTAAATCACCAAGAATGGAAACCAGCCTGTGGGGGTGGCTGAGGTGCCGGGCAGGTGCCGCTGTCACCCCAACACCTGTAGGGCGGGGCGGAGGGGAGGGGTCCATATCCACCCGGAGACAGGATGCTTGTGTGTCACGTGGGCGTGTGGGTGGGGGCTGATTCTGACTTAAGGAACTGGCTCCTGAGACAGCTGAGCGGGGCGTGTCTGGGCCCGCAAGGTAGGCTGGCACACTGCTGGCCAGGGCCGGATGCAGGTCACGTGCAAGGGCACTCCGCCAGCAGTGGGGAGCTCAGCCTCCTCCAGGACAGCTTGCGAGGACTGGACGACGCCTGCCGCGTCATGAAGGGCCATCTACTCGAAGCCTGTGGATGTCAGTGTTGATCGTAACTTATTTATTCATCTCATTTATTTGTTTTTGTGAAAGTGGGGATTGAGCCCAGGGGCTTCACAATGAACTACATTCTCCAACCTCTTTAAATTATTAGTTTTTATTTAAAGGCAGGGTTTCACTAAGTTGCTAAGTTACCCAGGCTGACTTGAACTTACAACTCTCCGGCCTCAGCCTCCCAGAGGCTGGGACTACAAGTGTGCACCACCATGCCTGGGTCGCTCTCATTCAGAATACGCGTTCACAGAATCATTAGAATGTTTTGCCAAATATTTGGTGGTCTAGCCAAGTTGACACACTGCTAGCCGGCACAGTGGTTCCTTCTACCGTACCCAGCTAAGTGAGCTGAAGTGTGTCAGCCAACACCTCTGTCTGTCCCTAAACTGTGTCCCAGCCCCTGAGGTCTGGCTAGCCTCTCCCCCCGGCCACTTCCTCCCCTCGTCCTTGTGCAGGCAGCCCCATGCCAGCCCTCCATCAGCTGCCATGTTTCTCATGTCCCCAAGTCCCTTGTTGGGGGGTGGGGGGCACCAGAAGCCAGTTCCCTGGGCAGAGGTGAAACTGGCCCTGCTCAAGCTGCAGCCAAGAATGACTGAAAATGCGTTCCCCAGGGTGGGGCTCTGGGCAGTCAGGAAGGCATGTAGACTTACCCGTTCACTTCAACGCAGAACGGAAAAAACACAAATTAGCTCATCAGGGCCACAATTTCAGGGCAATAATTACACGGATGAGGTCATATAATACAGGTGAGCCAGTTAAAGGACAACAGCACCCAAGGTGGACTGAGGTGGATATAAACCTAAGCCTGGTGCTGAGGACTGGCATCTGGACAGTGGGGTTTAGGTCCAGAACTCCGGAACTAGGCAGAGAATCAACCTGTCCTGAAACCCCGTTTCTCCACAGATGAGGGCCCCAACCTAATCAGACAGCGCCGAGGGTTTGTTTTTTCTGAGACCAGAAGAGCAGAAATCCTGGATTTTACTCTTATTTCTCTAAGCTCAAGGGAGAACAAAACCTATTCAACGTCTAGCCAGAGTTAGGCCGAGGCCTTAATTCCAAGTGCGCATCGACTCCTCCCCACACTCGGAACCTGAGCTGTCTGTGAATGCGAGAGCCAGCCGGCCCGCAGGGACAGAGACCAACCCAGACTCGGGGCCTGGGCTGGCTCCTCAGCCCTGCCCAGGAATGCTGACACAGGGTGGAAAATCCCACGCTGCCTCCTGCCTGGCAAGAGGGGCCAGGTACTTCGCAGCACCCAACACAGCAGCCCACGAGGCAGGCCCAGCAGTGGCCTCACTTCATGGGCTGGAAGCTGGCACAGTCAGGGAACCTGGCCCAGCCAGCAGGGCTGCTGAGGCCACCTGTCTTCTGTAAGCTGGCCCGGCCTCACCACTGCGCGCCGCTGGTGCAAAGCCCTGTCGGGGGCAAGCGTGTTGTTCTCAAGCCAGAGACCTGGGCTTCGCCGGGCCCCTGCAGCATGGATCAGGACACGGATGCTTCAGACAGCAGGCTTTCCAGGCACACTCTGGCTAAGGCAGCGATCGGCTCGGGGCCAAGGCCAGCGGTCCTCCAGCACTCCGGGCATGGGTGCTCTGGAGCCCACTTTAAGGAACAAACACACCTTCCCTGCTTCTGCCTCTGGCCAGCTGCCGTGACCCAGAGGTCTGGCCCCGTGTCCCACATGCACTGTTTCTGTGTGGCCCAAGAGCAACAGACAGTCTTCATACTTTTAAGGGGCAGGAACGAAAGCCAAAGGCTAACATGTCTCATGGCAGGTGAACATGACATGACCTTTGAGTACCAGTCTTGTTAGTATGAGGCCACACCCGTGTTCCTCCTCTCCAAGGTTGTTTATGCAATGCGCTGGTAGTTGTAACAGAGACCAAGGGCACTCGCTCTGCTCTGTGGGCCTAGGGGAGGAGCTGAGGGCTCTGGTCTGGTTTGCTCCGGTAGCTTCCATCGACGGCAACTCTCTACCCAATAAGGTGGCCTGCTGCATCTTTGACTGGCTCCAGGGTTGGCTATTCATACCCACTTCTCCTGGCCCTGAAGGCTCCTGCCCCTCAGGCCTGGCAATCAGTTCTCTTGCCTCTCCATAGCCTCAGTGCCTCAGTTTCTGTCTTCCTGCCAGGATCAGCCTGCCTGTACCCCTCCTTCCTGGGGGGGGGGGTCTTGGGTCACTGGGCAGAGACAGGCAATGGGCAGTGCACAGGGCACAGTCAAGAGCAGACTTGGTGCCAGCCTAGATCTCCAGCCCTTCGGCCTGGTGTCTGCAACGTCCTCACTGTCCACCCAGTTTCCAGGGGCCCCACATTTCCATGCTTTATTCCTGTGGCTCCCTGGCGAGGCCTCTGGGGACCCAAGGCCAGCTCTTTCTACCTTCTCCCTTCCCAAGCTCTGAGCACTTCTCTCTTCATCCAGCGTCCACCGACCCGAGTGGCACGCTGGTCCCCTGGACTGCCCACCTTCACTCTCTGGATTTGCAGTTTGATTTCACAACCAGTTGGGAGACTGAGACACTCCCAGACACTGAGGTTCTCTGACACCGGTCTTCAAACACAGCCAGTGAGATCTGGATTCAGAGCATCCTTGAGAGGGAGGGGCTTGAAATCCTCAAAAGAAGCGGGCCTTGTCAGAAGCACTGAGGGCAGGGGACCCTCTTGGCCCGAGCTGCTCCCTTGGAAGTGACCTGGACCTAGGGGTGGCACAAACCCAGGCAGTGCATCCCGCCCTCACCTGACCTGTGTGGGTTGATCAAGCCCAACCTGGAAGGTGGATGAGGGAGACTCAGGGTGGGGCCGGAGCAGCCCGAGGCACTGTCATGAGAAGCAAGAAGACCGGGTCTGGTTTCCAGCCCTGAGTAGCTGTGAGACCCTAGGAAGTACCAGCTGGCCTCAGACTGACTGATGGTGAAACTAAAAAAAAAACAAAACCTCACAGGGTCACCTCGAAGAGTGATAACCAGAATTCTAGCGTCATGGTTGGTTGGCATACGGTATTTACCCATAGATGTATTACTTTCCTTTCTCCTTTCCTCCTTCCTGTGGGTACCAATACCATGCTAGGTGATGGACAGCTAGGTAAGTGAGATAGTCCTGTTCTCAAGAACCACAATCTAGGGAAAACATGGTAGGCTCTGTTGTCCCAGCACTGCAGGAGGCTGAGGCAAGAGGATCCCAAGCTTAAGTCTAGCCTGGGAAACTGAGCAAGACACTGTCTCAAAGTCTGAAAATTAAAAAAGTGCTGGGGAAGCACCGGGGATGTAGCTCAGTGGCACCAGCGCCTGCTTGGCAAGCATGAGGTCCTGACTTCAATCCCTGGTACCAAAATAAAAACAAACGAAAAAAAAGGAAAAAAAGTGCTGGGAATATAGGTTAGTGTAAAGACCCTTGTCCAATCCCTAGTTCTGAAAAACAAAAAGAGTTCAGGCTGGGTGAGAAGGGAGAGGTGTACAAGTGTGAACAGGACAGTGAGGTATTGGTGCAACAAGGCAGTCATGGGGCTTCCTGTCATCCTCCAGGGAGAAGAATGCACTCAGTTAGGGAGCCGAGGGGCAGCAGCATAGGACAGGCTTCCAGGGGTCAGGACAGCCTCTGAGAGGAGGCAGTGTTGCTCCACTCATCAGAAACAGCTCTGCAGGGCACACAGCAGTGTGACCCACAAGCATCAGGTGTGTGCCGGCTGGATGATAACTCTGTGGGTCAAGTATTTCCGTGGGTTAGTGTCACAGAATCCACTGTCCTTCCTGCAGGGACAGCGTCCTCCGAGGCTGTGCTCTCAACACAGACTGGAGGAGAGACTGTCTCACTCTGGCAGCAGAGGGGCCTGGTGCAAGGATAGGAGCAACTGGCCCTTGGTCACAGCAATCACACAGCAGGGTAGTGTGCACAGGAATTCCTGCTGCAGGGAGGCTGGGGCGGTGGACGGCCCGAGGCCAGGAGTTTAAGACCAGGCCCGCAGAGGCCAAGACTTCACCTTGAAACACGGAACAGTCACAGCCAATAAGCAGTACTTCTGTCTCTACATACAAAGAGGCCAAGACTTCACCTTGAAACACGGAACAGTCACAGCCAATAAGCAGTACTTCTGCCTCTACATACAAAGAGGCCAAGACTTCACCTTGAAACACGGAACAGTCACAGCCAATAAGCAGTACTTCTGCCTCTACATACAAACGAACATGGACAGCAGGGGGTCAGTGCAGACAATGGTCCTTCTTTACATAACCCTAATCTAGAGCAGTTTAGGCTTTGGCTCAACTCTCAGGGGCTCAAGGGTGGTTCATCTCTGCTTCACGAGGTGCCCCTGGGTCCAGGGTGAGAAGGATGGGCTGAGCCCAGCATCACCTCTGGGGACTTGTTAGAAATGCAAATTGTAGGGATCAACTGGACTGGGGCCCTGTCACTGCACCTTAAGGAGCCTCAGAGGATTTGGGCATGCAGCAGCTCTCCGGGTGGTAGGTCCCCAGGGGAAGCTCCTCCAAGCAGCAAACCTTGGTCCACGCCCTAAGGTATCAGATGCGGAGTACTCTCTTGAAGTCTTCTTTCCCATGAAACACAATACTCCAGGGTAAGGAGAAACGCAATTCTCCACTAGCTGAAGCCCAGAGCCAGAGGAGCTTGTCCAGGAAGCCTCAGGAACAGTGGGCTGACTTTGAAAGCAGATTTGTTCACTTAGTTTGAAGTAGAAGTCTCACGCTTGGGATGAGCAGACCGATGAGAGCACCTTTTCTCCAGCCCCGCAGGGCGGCTCCGAGGTGGGTGTGTTGGGAGTGGGTTCCCCTTTGGTGACTCCCGGGGTGCTGTTTGGAGGTTCGGCCTGCAGCTGTGTGTTCCCCGGGTCCCCCGCCTTCCCGGCAGAAGGCTGACGGGCTCACAGGAGCCACCGACCGGGGCAAGCGCGACACAGCGGTGGCAGCTCGGACGAAAGAGAACGAACGTCTTGCTTCCCGGAGGGAGTGGAGTTCCAGAGCGCCGCCCGGTCTCTCCATGCGGGCCAGGCTCTCAGCACCGGCACACGCGACCTTCTGCTGAGGTCTCAGGGACCCCGGCGCTCGGGACGCTGGGGTGCACCGCGGTCCCTTTAACCCCGAAAACTTTCTCCCTCCACTCGGGACCCCGCTGCGCGCGAATTGGCGGAGCCGCACGCGCCCGCCCTGGCCCTCACCGATTGGCCCGCACAAGCATCCATCCCCAGTAGAGGGTTGCTACAGGGCCGCTCCCTTGCCCGTTAAGAGTGGCCGGGCCGGGAGCAACTCACCACCCTCAGTGCCCCTCGCGCCTCCCGAGGGTGCCCGGACCCAGAGGCGCCGGGAGCCGACGCCGCGCGGGGCTCCAGAGACTCACCGATGCGCTGTCCCACCGGAGAGCTAAACGGGTTCCCCAGGAGAAAGTCCATGGCCGCGGCTGCCGCTGCCACCGCCACCACCCGGGGAATCAGCTGACAGCAACCGCTGCCAAGGCCGACCAGTCACGTGACGGGCCCGGCGCACAGGGGCGGGGCCGAGCGCCCGGGCCAGGCTCTGTCCAGACGCGCCACGCACGCGGGGCGGAGCCTCCAAGCCACGCCTCGGGGGCTGAGCCGGGCTCCAGGAAGGTGACCCAAGGGTCCCCGGAAGACGGCGTCTTGGAGCCGGAAGTGGCGCTCGGGCCCCGGTGCGGCTGCGCGTCGCGCGCGTCGTCTGCGTGTAAACCCGAGCCCCCATCTTCTCTGCATGGGGTCCAGGACTCGGGACCACCGTTTTTGAAGGTCAATGGTGTCTCTGACCTGATTTGAAGAACGCAGTTATGGCTTTGTGAAGAAAACCCGACGAAGTTCTGCTCCTAATCTGAGGGCGTCCCCGAGAGCCCAGGCTGTGACCCTCGCAGGCCTTTCCCAGCTGTGAACGCAGCCTTCCCTTCGCCTCCTGGCTGCGCACCACGTGCAGACGCGACCCACGCACCGCATAACCGACAAGCACCAATAGTCACTGCTGCAGAGTCCCGACCACTGCAGGGTGCTTTATCATTTATTGATCACATGTCGCGCGAATTTTACATCTGAAAGACAGTTGACTTGGCACACTTTTTGGGTGGTGGAAAAATCTAATGAGAACTAGATCAGTTCTATGATTAGTGCCGTGTGTTCACTTGAGTTGCCATGGGGTCCAACATCTACAATATAAAAACTGCTTTGAAGCGTTTCGGTAATGTTTATGGGAAACCTCTCAACACCCACCCTTTCTCAACGGGCCTAGGTGCTTCATGGGGCTGGAGTACTCTGTCTCTTTTGATCATCACTGTTGTCTGACGACACAATGACTAACATACGGAAATGTAAGCGACGGGACCCACCTTTCTGTAGTGGCTCCTGGGCTGTTGGGATGTACATTGAAGATGACCCTTCAGGTCGACGTTAAGCATACTGCTTGATGGCGTGGAGTATATTTAGCGTGAACTTTTGATTTTTTTCATTGACTTTGTTTTTTGACAGGGTCTTGCTTTGTAGTTCAGACTGGTTATGAACTTGTGGCTATCCTCCTGCTTCAGCCTCCTGAGCATTGGGATTACAGGCATGTGCCCTCATGACTGGCTGGTTTTTTCTTTTGAGACAGGGTCTCACTGTGTAGTTCAGGCTGGCCTTGAATTCAGTGATCCTCCTGCGTCAGCCACCCCAGTGCTGGAATAACAGGTGTGTACCACCATTCCTGCTGCATGTATGTTAATTTTATTAAAACTGTAGATAAGGATGTAAGTGGAAAACACTGCTTGTGCACACCTGTAATTCCAGTACTTTCGGAAGCTGAGCCAGGAGGAGCACAACTTTGAGCTCAGCCTGGGCAACTTAGTGAGGCTGTCTCAAAAAACAAACAAAAAAACTGAAAGTAAACAAATAAGAAAAGGGCTGGGGAGGCTGGGAATGCAAAGACCCTGGGTTCAATCCCTAATATGTTTAAGAAAAAAAAGTGCAGTACAAAATTGATGTTTTAAAAGTATGTGCTGATAATGAACAAACTCATTTAGTAAGATGTATTTAATTTTAATTTTTCCTTAAGTGTTTTAGTAATAATATCATGCCTTGCTAAGGGTAAAAAAGTCCCTTTTTCCATGCTGCATAAATGTAACCTATTATTTAAACACTTTTAGAGAAAAATCAAGACGTGCTTCTTCCAGAGTTTAAAGATTATATGCAAGAAAAGTGGAAGCCAGCTGGATATTTGGGCAAGGAGAAGCTCTCAGACAGCTGTCCTATCCCCGTGGTTGCTTGGGACCATAGAAGACCGGGTGCTGATGAATTATATACTGAATCTGAAGTAGGTTGGGGCAGAAAGTGCCAAGCCTTTGGGTTTGGCTGCCCCAGTGCTCCTTCTCTGGCTTTGCCATTCCCTAGCCAGAAAAACTTATGAAAAGTACAGAACTTTCTTGCCTCTGCTCCTCAGCTGTGAAGGGAGGTGAAGTATGCAAATCTCACCAACAGTCAATCACTCCAGGGTATGGTGGCCTCTTTCTTGCTGCCCCTCCATAAGACGTGGCCTTGTAATCCATCATCTGACTTCATTCTTGAGACTTTCAGCACTTCACGTCTGCACTGGATTTCCCTGAAAGGTCCAATTTCCATCTACTCAGTGTTCACAATGTTACTGAACATTCACGCCAGGCTGGCTGGCTTTGAGACTGAAGGTGGGGATGACAAGCCAGTTTCACAGGTGAGGCTGTAAGCTGTGAAGATGAGGTGCCTTACCCGCCTCACCGACGAGGCCCAGACAGTGCTGGCACAGCACAGAAGTCTCCGATCAAGCACATGAATCTGCCATGACCCGCACAGTGTTGGCCAGCACCAGAATGTGCACAGTTCCATTTGCCAATGAACAGAGCAAGCACTGTAAGATGCACTGGCTTTGGAATTTGTAAAAGTCAAGAGCCTTTACCATGTAAAAGTCCATAGAAACAGCAAGATGCATGTTAGGAAATGGCTGAAATTAGTCATTGCACCTCCACTTCAGATTCTTTAGAGAAAATTGTGGTAGGGACAGAATGTGAAAACCAGCTGTTTTATAATTTCACAGCAACTATGATCAGCATGATTCGGTAAAAGACAGCTGAGACTAGACTACAAATATTAAAAATGTGATTTTTAATATAAGTACAAAATTTTATTTCTTTATACAATCATAATGGCATTTGGGTCAAACCACTGGAATTTAAAAAACAAAATAAAACAATGATATAAAAACTGCAAGAAGGTCTGAATCCAAAGTTTTTCCTCTATTAAGTACCAAATAACACAAGAGACAGATTACCATACAAATGTGTACAAATCTTAAATACAAATATAGTAGGGCTGGGTTTCAAAGGAAAAGCAAAAACAAAAACCAAAAAAATCAGGTTCTCCTTAGGATCTCCTGAACACGTTCCTGCTGCCTTGACCCACTGAGCGTACACACATGCACGACTGCCCCCTTGGGTGGACAGTCACACGTGTGCCATGGGTGGGTCAGAGGCACCTGGCAGCGAGACACAGAAGCACGCCCCGTGAACATGTTACTGGATGAGACGAAGCTGTAGGCCCGACTCCTGTGGCACTGCTGCTGCCCTGTCACGCATCACACAGGAAGCTTCCCTGGGGACCGATGAGGTTCTGACACAGGCAAGCTAACATTTCTGTTCTCCTAATGTTCAGATAGGATTTCAGTTCCCAACGTTCCTGTTTCCTTGATTAAACTGCAAAACTGCTCTGAGCTGAGGGTTCAGTGGCCAGAGGGCCTTTGAGGAGCACAGCTCAGTGACAACACTGGCTAGGGCAGGGAGGAGCCGTGCAGCATGCTGCTGGCTGCACTGTCCCCAGAGCCTCACAGTGCCCAGGCAGGGAATCACCACATTTAAAACCATCTACTGTCTTCTTTCCACCCGAGACAGATCTGGCTTTTTGGAAATAAGGGCAGCGGGGAAATGGTAATATTTTTTTTATTTCACTTTTTTGACATTATTGAAGGCTTTGAAGTTCTTTCTAAAGAATTAGATCCCCAATATAATGATTCCTTTTTGATACGAGACCTTAAAGTATATATGATTTCGCATTTTCAGAACAGACCAGAGGAAGGAAGGAAGGGAGAAGTGACCAATCTGTATCTTCCACACGCTGCTGCTGGTGGAGGCTTTTGTTATTAAATTATATATACAGAAATTTACACCATAAATTAAAAATCTAAGGAATTTAGAGTTAAATACACATAATTAAAATACACATTCACACACACATATAAATAAACCTACATGAGAATCAAGTCTTTTTTGCAATTCACTCACATGTGGAATGGAATGCAGAGCGCTTTATCTGCCCACAGGGGAACCAATAAGGTGAACTCAAGAACCACATGGGGCAACATTTGTCTTCCATAACCACCAGGAACCTAAGCAGCAGAATCTGTGGGACTTGGTGGTCAATCTAGCACCGCCAGTGAGAGACAGCAGCTCTCTTTACAGATGAATACCATGGGTCAGCTTGGAACACCAGCAGCTCCAGCTGAGGCCCTGACAGCTCCATCCTCAGGGATCTATCACTGCCAGGAATCACTAACTGCTTAGCCTCTCCCGAGCCTGCCAGTGGTATCACTGATTGCAGTAAGTTTTGAGATGTGGACACCTCTGTCGTAGGGCATGGGACGACCCCTCCTCAGTCCACCGAAGCTATCTCGATAGCTACAGCGGGCATGACACTGTCACTTCCCACTGAGGTCACTTCTGGTCAGCTGGCATCTCCCATCATCTTTCTTATTACATTTCTGACTATAAGACAGGTAAGGCAAATGGTCAGTGATGGGTCTGGAGGTACAACTGATTTGGAAAAAAAAATCACACTTTCGCTGTCTATAAGGAGGTGCTGCTCGGCACCCGGAACAAGCCCCCAGCCCCAAGTGACACTGATTTCTAAGGCAGATTGATCCACCACAAGAGAATACAGAATCCCAAGCCCCTATTCCTGCCAAAGTTTCCTTTGGCTACACCTTTGCCATTTCATAAAATTACTAAAGCAAAGTAGTTACAGTCCTATGTATATACTGTACATTTTATATATATATACACACATATAATATATAGATATAGAAGTTTCAAACCCACACCCTGAGGCCAATGCAGGGGTCTGCAACAGTGATATATACACAAACCAGCAAAGAGGCCGGGTGGGTTCCGTCCCAGGGTTCTTGGCTGTCACAGTCCAGGCATGATGTAAGCAACGTTGTCTAGGGTGTTTGACTGCAAAACAAGACGGAGTTCAATTGAAGAGTGTTTTCCCATGGTTCTGAGACACGTTTCTCTGTTTAGGGGGCAGACAAGGAAGGATAAGTGGAATTAAAGCAGACAGAGCGTGGAGGGATGGGGTGAGAATGGAGACAGCATCTGGTGGTCCGTCATGCTAGGGTGTATTCTACTGATGTCTTCCCTTAATCCTAGTAAAAATGAAGCAGAAACTGTCTTTGTGTGTAGAAGAGCACACAGGAAACACAGGAAGTACTGTACCTCAAGGGCTAGGTTCCTTGTCCCCAAAGTGCTATTCTGGGAAGCGGCATCCTTTCTGGTCTCCCTGCCAGCACAGCCTTTGCTAGTGCAGCATCACACTCCACACGACAGGGCGTCTCAGGAGCTTGCCCCTGACTGTGCCTGTTCCCAAGGAGCCTGCCCCACATCCAAGGGAAACAGGAACTCACCAAGACCTGCTTGGGACAGCCATTCAGCTCAGGTAGCTGTGTGGTCAGACACGCCAGGGGCCCAAGAGCACAGATGATAGAATCCAGAAGCACAGACAAACTGCCAGATACAGCCACCATGCCCTGAAAGGAAAGGAGACTGTCACTTACACCATGCAGCTGATGTGCTCTCTCTCCCTTTTCTTGCTGACTTCATGTGGCTTTCAGAAACTCTGGGCCCTTCTGTCTGTAGAACGAAACTTACACAGACATAGGAGGATCTAGTTTGACTACTCTGAAAGTTGCTTAACGGGGAAACTTTTACAGTACGTTTCCAGGTCTCCTCTCTGTACTCACAATCCATTGTATCTTCTGTTTCCAGGGAATCACTTAACCAGAAGAGCGAACAGAGTGGAACATGCTCTGCAGAGCTGCCGGGAAGATCTGTGAGCTCATGTACGCAAAATTTACATTTTACATTTACATTGAGCCTGAATTTACATTCCTTCTGCCTCAGCCTCCCAGAGCACTGGGATTACAGTGGTATGTGCCACAACCCCTGGCCACAGATTTACTGAAATAAAATTGTAACATAAATAACAGTCCAAGTGGTACATGCAAAGTGCTGAGTGTGAGGATATAGGCCAGTAATTGAACTCCGGGGAACAGTGGGCTCCAACATAAATGGGGAATGACTGCCAATGACCTGGGGTTTCTTTTGGGGGTAAATATAGTTTTGGAATTAGGTAGTGATGAGCCCAGTGCTCTAAACCCAGTAAGTTCTGCACTGTAAAAGGGTGAGCTCTACGGTATGTAAATCATAATCAGCAAGACTTAAAAATTAAGTGGACTAGAGAATCTATAAAGTTCTTTCTCTTTTATGATCATAGCAGTGGTCCCTTATCTGTGGTTTCCCTTTCTATGTTTCAGTTACCCATAGTCTATCTTGGTAAAAAAAATATTAAATGCAAAATTCCAGAAATAAACAATCCTGTTTTAAACTGCATGCTCTTCTGAACAGTATGATGAGATCACTCTGTCCAACCCTATCCAGTGGGGACCCGAGTCCCTCCTCGTTCAGTGCATCCGTGGGTTTAGTCCCTCAGCCTGTCATGGCGACGCTGTGCTTGTACAATGGGGCCTGGTACTGCCTATGGCTGTGGGCACCCCTGGAGGTCTGAGTGCGTCCCCCTCTTTGAAAGGGGGCTGGTGTTGCATGTGTAACTCTCTCATAGGAACTCTTCACTGGAACTGGCTTGTTTTTGGCAGTGTTCTTCCCTATTGGGGACCTGGAATCGAACTCAGGGCCTCGTTTGCCAGGCAGGTGCCATGCCATTGAGCTACATCCCTGGCCTCAGAACTGGGTTGTTTCGATAACTAGATAAACTTTCTGCCTTTCCAGGTAGATTGTAAGTTTCCTGCTGATAGGCATATTGTATATTCAGATTTTTATTCCCCAAGTTCTTAAAATAACAGCTCAGTATGAAACACTTGTTAAACGAAATGGAAATACTTGGAATATGGAAGGTATTTACAACAAAATATTTCATTTCTAACTTTTTAGGAAACATAAGAATGATTAATAAGGGTCACAGGCTATTTTATTCTGGAAATACTTTAAATCATTCGGACGGGAGTCTACACGAGGTTCCAGTTCTTTTATGCCAGTGGAAGAAATTAACCGAAGAACTGAGACACAGCTTTACCTCTTGTGGTCTCTGGCATTTCACATGAAGCAAGTGATTAGCTCTGTCCCTGAGCTGTTTCTTCGCTCACTGTCTTATCAGGGCTAAGAGGCGAACTGCTGTGCTGCTGCGCTTGTGAAGGGCAATGCAGTTGGAAGCTGAGTGCAGGAGCACAGCGGAGCGCAGCAGCTGTACAGGCTCAGTGATTCTGAAAGCAGAGTTTAGAACAAGAGCTCCCGCAGGCACAGAGCACTGGATGCTCCAGTGCGCTGCAGTGAGGAGCTCAGAACCTCGACTTCCTCAGCTACTCTTATTCTCAGGGACACAGGAACTCTCAATGTCCTGGTCCAATCCAATCTCTATATTTAAAGCTTTGCCGCAAATGTGCTGAAAAATCCAAACCATCTTAGAAGTGCAAGTAACCAAAACTGCTCTGGGATTTCCACTCACCTCATCCATTGCTTTGTTGTTGTTTTAGAGACAGGGTCTCGATACGTAGTTCAAGTTGGTCTTGAACTTGTGGCAATCCTCCTCCCTCAGCCTCCCAAGTGCTGAGATTACAGGCATGTGCCACCACACCTGGCTTTCTGTTGCATTTTTGTTTTTGAGGCAGGGTCTCCCTTTGTAGTTCAGGCTGGCCCTGAACTATATAGCCCAGGCAGGCCTCAAACTCTCAGCGATCCTCCTGCCTCAGCCTCCTGAGTGCTGGGATTACAGGCATGTACCATCTCCATTACATTTTTAAAGAATAAAAATCAGTTACAGGGAATTCTAACTTCTCTTTGCAACAGAATGGTATTAGTGTAAACTTTAAGAACCAAGAGGTAGATTCCTGTTTCTAGATGTGTTCATCGCCATGATGTCTTCACTGTCCCCTGCGTATCTGGCATATCAGCACGGAGCAACTGCTCAGTGAATGTAGGTGGAAGGAGTGGGTGGACCCCAGAGCCATGCTGCTGAGAGCTGTGCTCACCTCTGTCTCCTGCAGGCGGTGTCCGATGAGGCTCAGGGACTCCCCCAGCAGCTGAAGGTGTGCAGCTACGTCAATGGGCTCTGTCTCAGGAGCTCTGGATGGTGATGTCGGTAACAACACGGTGGTGGGTGGGGATTTCTTTTGGGGCAACAGGACTCCTGTAGAAGGAGCTGGGAAGAACAGAGGGGTGGGGGAGAAGTGAAATTTGCCTTCAGCCTTCAGTACCACAGAAATGCTGCTGCTGACCTTCCCTTCTTATGAAGTATACCAGGCACTTGCAAAACTATGGGCTCTTTCTGCATGACCTGTGAGCTAGAAATAGTCTGACATTTTTAAAGAGTTGTAGGAAAAGACAGATGAGTCTGTGACAGAATGCATACGGCACACAGGCCTATAATATTACCTTCTCGGTCTTTATAAAGTTTGCTGACCTTCGATTTATTTACATATTCTAAATCTGAGCATCATTTTTTGCTGCCTATAATATTCAGTAATAATATGTGGGTACTGAGGTCTGCTTCTAGTATAAGCTGTTTTCCCAATTTCTCAGCAAACCAGGAAACTTCACAGAGCTTCAGAGGCAGGCAGCATGTGCAGGAAGAGCAGGCGGTTGCTACCTTTGACTTTCACAGAGCCTTCTGAGGCAGACACTTTTCTCTTCACAGTTGTAGCTTCTGCTTTGTTCTGTTTGTGCTGCAGATACTGGGCTTTCTGCTTCCAAATCTGCAATCAGATCAGTGTGCAAATTAAAAGGGACAAAACAGGAACCAGGGATTTAGCTCAGTGGTTCCACTGCCTGCTTCGCAAGCACAAGGTCCTGAGTTTGATCCCCGGTACCAAAAAAAGAAAAAAGGACAAAACTTAAAATGGAAGGCAGTCATAGTAGAACAGGATGCAGGAGTGGAATGGGCAGACAGAGGCTGATGCTGACTTTCAGGCTGAGGTCCCTGAGTTGCCTTTGGCTTGTTGTTCCACTGATATTTAAGCCTGGAGAGTGAACATTCCTCAGTGCTAGTGGGCGACCTCAGCACTAACAGACCACGCTGTGGGTGAGACATAAGCCACAGTAAATGCCGAGTCACCATCCAGTCAGAAAAAGACTACATGATTCAGATATGAACCTGTCCTTTATGGGCTTCCTGGTTGTGGGGGCCACTATGTGGCTGTGGGTGAGGAGCAGGGTGACCCGGAGCCTGCTGAGCAAACCCTGTGGCTGACCGTGCAAGTGATCGTCCCCAGCCTTTGATCCGCTGACCCTCAGGGGTCTGCAGTGGAGGCTGTGACATCACGTCCTCCTTTAACACTTCATTCACTGCCCAAGTTAGGTTTTCTTTTGGCTCAATGTAAAGTGTTCGGAAAAATGAGCCAGTTACAGAAGACAGCCTCCCTATGCTAAACCCTCAGCTGGGTAACTCAACACCAGCACTGTTAACACCGCTGCTGCACCTCGGTCCACTGCGTGGTCATCTTCTTCACTATTTTCACTGCTGCATCGCTGGATGGTTTATAGGAGAATCACACACTTAAAGGGCAAAAAGCTATGAGAACTCTGGTTGTAGGAGAGTGCACTTACCAGCTTGTCCTTTTCTGGCAATTGCTTCCACACTTCAGCCAGTTTTTTACTGAGTTCCCCAAAATCTAGCATAAAAAAATAAAAATCAAAACAACACAGAACAGGCTTACTTTAACAAAACAGAAGATGGATGGGGTAGAACTTGGAAGAAGGCCTTTTCTTTTTTTCTCTTTTTGACAGAGTCTTGCTATGTAGTCAAGGCTGGCCTTGAACTTATGATCCCCTGCCTCAGCCACCCGAGTGCTGGGAATACAAGCATGCACCACCATGCCCGGTGGAAAAAGGCTTTTGAAGATCAGATTTGAAGGTTGCAAGATTCTCTCAGAAAACCAACCCAGACTCCTATCACTTTTATTCTGATTTTCTTCTATAGGAAAAAGATGTTTTGGAGGTCCTAAGACAGGTTCAGATGCTCACACAGTCTACTCCGGGGAGCAGAGTATTGCCTTATTCCTGAGGCATCTCTCTGGTGGCTTTTCATTTGACCTCATAATATAAGGCCTCCTACGTTAGGTTAAGGACAATATGCTACCTAGAATTTGATAAATGATATTAGGTTTTTTCTAGGTATGTGAAGAGTCAGAGCTAAAGAACTTTCCTATCATAATCAAGAAGCATCCCCCAGGATGTGTCATGTCAACCTTCCATCTGTATAGCATATATCTCCTCTCCTCCTTTCTTTCTGGTTTTCTGAGACAGGTTCTCGCTATGTAGTTCAGGCTGGCTTTGAGCTCACCATGTAGCCCAGGCCGGCTCCAAACTCACTGTGATCTTCTTGCCTCGGTCTCCCGAGGGCTACAATTGCAGGCATTCGCCACCACACCTGGCTGTCTGTGCTTTAGTGTTCTTAGGTGCACATCACAGCAGCCCCATGAAGGGGTAGAGCAAGTGTGTATGTAACAGGCAAGTGAGATAATACAGGTCAAGGGACTGTCTGAGCTCTGGGGTACAGTGTTTCCTCACCTCACCAGACAACACAGAGACAAACATGAACAGTGCAGTGCAGGGTTACTCTACACCTAAGGGCGGTCTATGAGAAAGATGGCAAAATCTTGGAACACACACACACACACACACACACACACACTTATATATGTACACTTTACAATATTTAATTTTTCACAGCTTCCCATTTTTTCAGTTTAACTTGTTCACAATGGGGCTAGTACCACCAGTGGTACATGCAAGACTGTCCCACAGGGCAGCCTGTGCCACTGATGGGACTGTCCTGTGCCGCGCCATGAGACTCATGCATGTGCCGCTGGCAGCTCACGCAGAGACATGTGTGGCAGGCTTGCCTCCTGTACCAGCAAGGTGAATGAAGGCTAATCTAAAGTGGTCTGCAGGTCAGAGGAGAGATGAGACCTGCATTCGAACAGGAAGAAGCTGTGCTCACTGAATCAGCTCAGGGCACTGTTTCAGAGGCGCAGATGGGGAGGAAAACAAGGGAAGCCCCGCCGAGCTCTTACCGATCCCTGGGTGGTCAGCCACGATGGTTGCACGGTACTCTTTACAGAACACCTGGTAGGCCGACACGTTCTTCTTTTTTGGCTAGTGCCACAGAGAACACAGAACAAGGCGAGACTTGATCAGAACCCAAGTTTAGCGATGCTGAACTTATGTTGACAAAACAGAAAGGAAACTTATACTTTTTCATTCACAAAAGATCACACAACTGAGACAGGATAATTTTTTAACCCATGATACTTATCTCTCAGAGGTAAGTATGGGTTTTGTTTAGCAGGTTATTGTTCGGTTTGTGGTTGCTGCAGCTACACGCTCATTATCTGTAAAGCCTGTATTCTGCCTCCAGACTCCCATGCTAAGGATTCTTTTAGAAGTAAGTGCATCTTTGAAAATCAGAACCACACCATTTCCTTATAAACTTTGGGGCCAGAAATCCAAGAGCGAGATCTATATCCTTTTTGTTTCTCTGGTACTGATTTCTAACCTTTTTTTGTACCAGGAATTGAACTCTATGATTTCTAATCTTAATTAAAATTTTTCCAGGCCAGGGATTTAGCTCAGTGGTTCCGCTGCCTGCCTTGCAAATGCAAGGTCCTTTGTTCCACCCCAGTACTGCCACCCCCCCAAAAAAATTCTAACCCTACTTTTATTACACTTGTAGTTTACCATTATTTTATTATCACATCTTCATGGCTCAAGGTAAGGAGAGCTAAGTGAAGGCCACTTTGACCTGCTGCTCTGTCGTGGCAGAAGCACATTTGTTCTTTGTTCATCACAGCAGCGGCAGAAGTAGTAGATGGGTTTTGAGAAACAAAATTACTTTTAAAGCCATTTCAGCAAAGAATATATAAAACAAGATTATATTACTATGTATTCTACTTCACAGCTCTCCATAGATAGAGGAAGAAAACCTAAGGATTCCTACCGGGAAGGGCAGTTAGATTATTTATCAGGCCACATCTTTGGTTTTGAGGCTGAGAAAAAGCAAACCCTAAGATATTTGTATTGTGACTTGCTGAAGGTCCCACAGTTTTCACACCAGCACAACCACAGCCCAGTTGCCCTGACTTGCAGGGCCATGCACTATGGACCAGAAAGAAAATGTGTTGCTTCCTCCAGAAAGACCTACTGTGTAAGAAATGGTTGCTGCGCTATTACCATGATTATTATTTGGTGATACTGGGGACTGAGTCCAGGGTCTTCACACTGCACCATACGCCCAGCCCTTTTATGGTTAATATTTGAGACAGGGTCTCGGCTAGGTCTCTAAGTTGCCCAGGCTGGGCTGGAACTTGGCACCCTCTTTCCTCAGCACCCCAGGGTGCTGGGATGACAGGTGTGCCCACCATGCCCCGTTTATAACCCTAATCTAATAAACTGAGGCGTTTTCTGTATGCGTTTTTGCAAACCCCCCACATTTCCCTTATGTGTAAGCATCAAAAGACGATGATCTGTCTTCCATCTCCTAAGATAGTCTCTGCTGGTCCTATAGTTACTATAATGACAAAACGCTTCACACTTTGAAACCAACTGGCAATTTTTATTTGCCTTAAGAGTCAGATTTTATGACCAAAACCCATCACAGAACACTGTGCTGACTCATAACTTCAGAGTTGCATCTTGCTTTGAACAAAGCTTGATCTGATACTTTACTTCCCTAATTTTCTTCTGTTAAAAAAACATGGCTCGCTACATAGCCCATGCTGGCCTCCAACTCTCCACCCCCTGCCTCAGCCTCCTGAGTGCAGAGGTTATAGGAGTGTGCTACCAGGTCCAGGTTCCTGCCTCAGTTCTGAACGTTTCCATAAAATAACTACCCTTCAGAAGAACAAACACTGATGACAAGAAAAAGCTTGTATGATGGCTTGGACTTTAATTCCAAAAGAAGTTCTGAAATCATTTTGAGGAAGGGAAATATTCTGTGTACCTTCCAAGGTAACTGCAGTGAATGAGCTGACACTCACTCGGGAAATTATGGCAGGTCTGTTAAAAATGTGACTTCAAAATTTTATGCTAATCTTTTAAAAATGGCTTACCCATATGCCCGAAATTAACTAGAGTACAAGATAAAAAAATAATTTGTGGAAATCTCTACATCGAAATCCTTCTCAACTGTAGAATCAACCTTACCATTAAATATTGAGAACATCAAGAATATGGAGCATGATCAAAAGACATGATGAATGTTTACATTT